CCAGACTGTGGGGGCAATATGGTGACTCTGTAAACCGCTTAGAGAGGGCTGAAAGCCCTATGAAGCGGTATATAAGTCTAACTGCTATTGCTATATTGCCGTATTAATCGGAACAGAGCAAGTTGAAAGGCAATTGTCAAACATTTGCCAGGCAGAGCCTGGACCTGACTCGATGGCACATCACTATATTTGCAGTTTCCAGAGAGAGGAGTGAAGGATATTAATTCAGGTAAATCTCCATGAATTGGATACTACTTGATATTATGGGTTTTTTGATGCACTTATGTAGCAAAAGATCACATTACATTTATACACAGGCTCACACTTCATTACCTAAAACCCCCGGAGTTTTGGATAAGAATTTTACCCTGCAAGTTGGAGTTAAGCAGCCTATATTCTGTTACATTAGTCAATGAGATACTTAAAAAAATAAAAATCTAGCAAGCTAAAATATTTTTTCCAAGCAAAATCAGTAACTATGATATTATTTTGAAATATAATCACCAAGGACCACAGATGGAGAAATAGTTTTCTTTTTAAAATGTTCCAGAACTGGTGTGGAAAAAGCTGCAATGATTTTGAAAACACATTGCTACAAACTGCCAAAGGATTTCTGTCTTGGCATGTTAAATGCCCTTGGAGTTCAAATAAATGAGGTGAAAGATATACATTAAAATAATGTCCTCCGTTTGTCCTTAATGAGTCTTGTTACAATAGGTAGCATTAATAGTATGTTACAGAATATATTTTCCCCTTCTTTAGCTGTTTGCCTAAAAACACAAGCACACATACACACACACACACCAGGGTAACATTAAGAATGAAGCTATTCTTGCATAGATAAATTTTGGCCATTAAGTTATTCTATTAAGACATAGTCAATGGGCTGATTCTCATCAGTTCTGCTGGCTTTCTTCAGTGGAGCATTTTAAAAGAGACATTTTAGCACTCAATGAGAACACAAACTAGTGTATCTTTTAGAATTGCTTCATTTGTAAGTTTGCTTTGGATTGTTATGTAATTTCCTAATGGAATGATCTTGGGTTACCAACAAGTTTCTAACCTTTCAAATTTAGCTTTACAAATTCTTATAAACGAAAGATGAATAAATATATATGCTATAAATCCCCACCTAGAACTGATTAATCTTTTAAAAAGATAAGAGGGTTTCTTTTTTTAAATAACACTGCATGTATTTGCAATATAATAGAAAAGCGAGGGAGGGCAAGATGCTTAAAATCAATTCTCTTCCAGAAAGATGTCCTTTCAGATGTGCTTATAAATACAATTAAACCCTCACAAGGATTCTGCTTTAAATTGTTCCCTGCAATAAATCTCTCTAAACCCCAAGCAGTATATGTAAGGGAGGTTCTGCAGTGGAAGGGGCCTTATTTTTTCTTTACACTGTATATCTATGAATGCATCAGAATGCTATTTAAATTCCACTGCCAGTGGTACATTTGTAACTACTGAACTCAGCTTTGCTGGATTACATTGCAGTGGCATAGAGAAACGTCTCTGCACTGCTAGCAAAGAGAAATTCGAAGCACCTTTAATGGAGAGGATGAGTATCATGTACACAGATCCCAAACCAGAAGGTGAACACAGAAATGGCTTATTTATGAGCAGTTAGGATAGAGGAAATAAACCCTATCAGTCATAAAATGACACATCATCTTTTCATCAAATATGCAAACTCACTTTTGGAGGCCGAAACACATTTGATGCTTTCCCAATTGGCTAGTCAGGTTTACTGTGTATTGCTATTTCAGATCCTTTGGATGTGAACCACAATTTTGTTTCATGCTCTGGGGCTTCCTTAAAATCTTTGCTCATGAATGTATCTCCCTGCTCCTCAAATAATCGTCCATACCTTCTGCCTTTTTCTTCTTTCCTTAAATATGTCTAAATATAACCATGTGTGTTGTATTTATTTATCCATATTTATCTCTAAAGAGATCATTTAATGAACACATTTGTATTAAATAATTTGTTTTTTTTATTTCTGCTGCTCCTTAGCTTTGAGTTAGCAATCCTATCTGGAAGGCACGCATATGCTTTTGGCAGAATAAAAGAGGTGTCAGAGGTAGACTGTAGGGGTTTACTAGAAAGAGTGCAGAGAAGAGCAACAAAGATGATTAGGGGACTGGAGGCTAAAACATATGAAGAAAGGTTGCAGGAACTGGGTATGTCTAGTTTAATGAACAGAAGGACTAGGGGAGACATGATAGCAATGTTCCAATATCTCAGGGATTGCCACAAAGAAGAGGGAGCGAAGCTATTCTCCAAAGCACCTGAGGGTAGAACAAGAAGCAGTGAGTGGAAACGAATCAAGGAGAGAAGCAACCTAAAACTAAGGAGAAATTTACAGACAGTTAGAACAATTAATCAGTGGAACAATTTGCCTCCAGAAGTAGTGAATGCTCCAACACTGGAAGTTTTTAAGATGTTGGATAACCATCTGTCTAAAGTGGTGTAGGCTTTCCTACCTAAGCAGGGGGTTGGACTAGAAGACCTCCAAGATCCTTCCAGCTCTGCTATTCTAGTCTAGTCTAGTAATGGGAAACTGTAAATTGTTTGGACTGGACTGAGCAGAGTGGGGAGGGTTTGTCTTTTTTCTTTGCCTCCAGGCTTAGAGACAGAATTGTAATGTCAGAGTTTGACACTGGAACCTTGTTTCCATCACTCCAGCAACCTTTCTGTTGTTTCTGATGTCAGAAAACCACATGGGAAAAGGCTCATAAGGGTGTGTGTGGCAGCAGGCTAGTAGGGGCTGAGAATACAAAGGGTCCACAATGCTTTCGGTCCTCATACAATTGTGAGAAAAATTACACAGCTCTATAAAGAAGTCTTCCTCCTAGTGCTTCCAATAGATAGGAACAACAATAATAATACCAGTAGCAATAATAGCTACTCCTTTCATATTTTGGTCCTGCTAATCTCATGCTGATGCTGGGAGGATTTTGCAATAGTCAAAACCTCCAATGTCAAGATGCTCCAGCCCAGGATTTCTCTGAAAGTCAGCCACAAGGTTCAGCCTTTTGATGCAAAGCAAAGGAACAATTTGATTTGAAGTTAACTTTCATCACATCTGCAATGAATCTGGTCACTATTTTCTTAGCGAGCCAAAATGTTATCCACAGATGCATTCTTAGAAACCACATTTCAATACTAAAAGGAAATTTTAATATGTGTAGATCTTTCTAATAGCAAACATTTATTCTGAACGGCTAAGACATTGAGAAGCAATTTTCTTTTCACGTGAAATCCAATGATACTCACTTTTAACTACAGGTAATATATGAGTGTAAGCTCATCTTAACGGAAGCAGAATGCGTATCACTATAAAAAGTTGAGACACTTTCATGTGTGCAAAGGCGAAGGGGACTATATGCTGTATCTACATGCAAACATAAATAAAATATTTTAGAAAAATTGTATATTTTGTACAACTATGTACAGTGAGTGGGGAGATAAATCCCATTTTCAAAGGTTCGTTCACTGGAGTGTCCTTCTCGCCACCACCCATCTTTTTGAAATTTTCAAAGAAATCAGCTCCTCCCACACTCGTCTTCAGTACTCTCTTGCTTCCTGAAATTGTTTGTAATAGTCCTCCTCCGAAGGATTTTCTGTACATTTCTGACCATTGTTAGGTGGCCGGGCTTCATTGTACCTACTCCAGTCCCCTTTGCAAATGATCCAAGGCAAAACATCCACCTTGTAATGAAGTTCTGCAGAGAATTCAATGCTGATGAGGTTGGGGGTGCCAGCCCCTTTCCCTCGGGTAATCAGCTGCATGCTGTCATCATAGCAGCAGTGCTGTGCTGCCAAGGTGGTACTCTGCAAGGACAGCATGGAGCGGATGCAGTAGCGGGCACTGGGCTTATAGATATCCAGTTTTTCTTTTGGCCCACTTGCATCTTTCCAGCGAAAGTTCTTCCTTTTCAGACGGTCGTAGATCTCTGCAGTGCTATAAGCTACTTCAGTGGGGTACGTGCAAGGACAAGCAGGAAGGTCATTGACTACTTTGTGCATGTACTTCTTTAAGAATTCACTCTTGCAACTCATCCACCTCTCACAGCTATCTGTAGCTGAAGAAAAGAAGGGAGGACAGAAGGGAGGAAAACATCAAACACCGTATTAAAATCGTAAGTGCATGATTTACTGATTGGTTTAGAAACTGACCCTCTAGATGTTACTAAACTACAACTCCCAGCACCCACTGGATGTGACTGGAGGTGCTAAGGTTATGTGACAACATCTGGTATACTACAGGTTCTCCTTCTTTGTCTTACTGTATCTCTCAAGTGTCAAAAGGCAGGTTTTGATTATGACTAGCACTGTCACATTTTAACAAAAAGTTGCTTCACTTTTTAGTAAAGTAATATTTTCCCCAATTTCTTTACAAGGGCTGGATGTTTATCCCTTTAAATCGGCATAAAACAATGCTTTTAGTCAAGAGTTATGGCAGGATTTTTTTATTAATTGATTGATCTTTAACTGTTTCGCTTTTTAAAAAGTCATAAGCTGAATTAAATTATTTTATACAAGTATACTTCACTGCAGAAATAATTCTATTGATTGATTGATAAGCTGCCTTGTAAAGGCCTGGCCCCCAAAGGCTATTTAAGATATTTAAAAGTAATCCAATAAAGTAATATATAAATCCAGATGCTTTCAATATTATTTTCAAAGAACACATTCTTGAGCCTGAAAGCAAATTTCTTAGAATCAATGTCAGTGACAATTTGTATGCTTGCTATCCTTTCTCCTTGAATGCTTATATTCTCAAGTTTTTGTTGCTGCTGCAGTACCACTAGAAGAGAAGTTGTTGGTTTAAAAAACCCATTCTTGAGCTGTATTGGAATTCAAGCAGGGATATTATAAGGCACAAATACCAGAACATATAGTTTCATGTGCTTTCTTATTAGTGCAAAATAAAAGTTGAATTTGTCTTCGTCTATTATATACTATCTCTTTTTTTTTTTAAAGTAGCTGCATTAAATCCTAATTATTCTCTTTTAATTGGTGATGTTAAAATAGCCTCTTATATCTGAAGCCAGAAATGACTTGCATTCCTCTTATAATATTTGGTAAGATAGCAAGAAATCTGTCCAAGTCAGGATGTGCCATTAGTGGAATGGTCATGAGTGATGAGGTGGTGAATATGTATCTAAAGTCCAAATATTTTGCAAGTTTCAGGGAAATCCTTGGCTTTCATTTGCATTCCTATGTAATTCTTTGACTTAACAATGTCCTAACCACTATGGATAGATCTTATAAAGCTATTTATTGTTCAAGAAGACTTCCTGAACTTATTATATTCAGCTGTATTATTCAGCTCTTGCCTTTTGTCTTCATTGTGTTATTTAACTTGGAATGCCCATGATACAGCTGGAAACAGTCACTTTTGTTAGAATTTCCATATTGGAAATCACAGATCTCCTGGAAAAGGTTGGTGGAGGCTCCATTCAAAAACCAGAAAATGTTGGCACGATGAGATTTGAGAGCGCACTTCACACTAGGGATCCTTTTTATGCAGAGCCACTTCTTGTTGGCCTATACAACTGAGTCTCTAACATACAATCTGAGGCAGCTGTCTTAAATGTAGCACTGCCTGGATGTCCCCTTCAGCCAATATGTGGTAGTATAGATTATGACTGTCAAAAGATTCCCGAGGGACTGAATTTGGGCCTACCTACATCACCTGGGCTAAATTTAAGAGGGGGAAAAAACCCACCCTTTTTGCTATTATCTGCTTACCAACTTCAAAGAGCTTTGTGGCATTGAATTCTTCGCTTCCTGCGAGTAAGCTCATTTCTGTGGCTGCTGTTCTGAATGTGTCCTCGAGACCTATACAAATTATTTGGGAAAAGGAAAACACAGGGTTGTTTCAAATAGTCCCATTGCACTTGGAGAGAACAAGAGCAGATGCACAACATGCCTTTATTTTGCAAAAGAATTATTTATTTAACATTATTTACAGCCTCTGGGAAGGGCGCAAAAATTCAAAAGAAACCCAGCACATTAAAAATCAGACATATGTAATAAACCCATGAACAATGATTTCTTGCCAGAGTACTATAAATCAGTTATAAACTCAGTGTTTGTATACTCTGATATTCAGAGTTGTCTTGAAATGAATAGAGGGTTTTGAAACACTTCTTTTTGGTATTTTGAAGTTCGTATTTTCAGGCATCATTGAAGATTACAACAATTTGGATAAAGGCAAAAACTACAAAGCAGTAAAGCTTTTCATTATTGCATGCTTGAAGTGAACGCTGTACATTCCAACTGCATTATTAGCAAATCATTATTTAGAAACAGGATGTGCTCTTGATGTTACGGCTTATTAAAACAATGTGACTGAGATGTTTGGCAGGGAAAATATTGGGATTTTCTCCTCCAAGGATGTACAAATAGAGAAGGCAGTGAAGGAGGCCACTTTGGGATCCACACACATGGAGGATCCAGACTACTCTCGCTGCCAGACTTCACAACAACCCTAGTCATATAGGGTTGAAGCAGTGATGGGATTCAGCCAGTTCGCACCTATTCAGGAGAACTGATTGTTAACTTTCTAAGCAGTTCTGAGAACTGGTTGTTGAAAGAAATTTCCTTTTGGTTTTTTCCACTTTAGAGGGCTAATCCTGTAAGGAAGGCAGGAAGGAAACATTCTGGTGTTGCTTCTAGCCTTATCTTTATTGCCCTGCTTACAGAAACTGCCTCTCCGGTTAACCCTTATTACATTGTAACAGCTAAGGCAAAAGCCCATCGGCATGAATAGAGTTGACTTGGCCAGGTCCACCCAGTCACATGACCACCGAACCCCGCCTATCCAGCTGGTCATTAGGCAGAGAACTGGTTGTTAAATTATTTGAATCCCACCATTGGGTTGAAGTCTAGCAGAAGCTTAGTTCCTATTTTAACTTTTTTTAAAAAATGTTTTTATCCCGTTGCAAGCCACCTAGAGTCACTTTGGACAGTGAGAGGGCCAGCATATTAAATAAATAAAATAAATAAATAAATACACACATAGCAGAGAAATAGCATGTAAGGAAGCAAAGGGCATGTCAAGATGGAGCAATCTTATCTCCTCTTTTGCTGCCATTATTCAACTCGTCAGCAACCATAGCAGCAGCCCATGCCCACTCTATCTTCTCCTTGTTCCAGGGGTACAAGGAAGTGAGACAAACCCCATATAAGACTCAGGCCTTCTTTGTGGCAATGCTAGGGAAGACACAGCAGTAGGAATCTTTCTCCTGTTGTGTCTCAACTTTTTCATCATGATGGGCACCAGAGAGGATTGTGTTAGGTCTTAGTCTATAATTAGTCTGTAATTAAAGCCCCAATATCTTCTCCAAAACCTTTCTTAAAAGGGAAGATTGGAGATAGGCTAATCATTGGCTAAAGTGGCTGGATTGAGAGAGATGATCCCTTCAGAAGGAGGTTCAGCATTGCTTCCTTAAAGATAGATGGCATCCCTCTTCTTCAAAAAGGTGTTAACGACCTCTCAAATCCAATCACATGTCCCACCTAACTACATGAGTAAGACAGGTGGAACATGAATCCTTACAAGTAACAGAGTACATATCCGTATCTGCTTTCAAAGCTCAAAAATCACTATCAAAGTTCACCTCACTATCCTTTGTCAGTGCGCTATTGTACCCATCTCTAATTAAATGAGAATCATTTTATTTGCAAACAACTTTGTTAACATATCACGTGGGCCTGCAACAAAGGTGGTATTCAGCCAGTTCTGACAGGCTGGCCCCACCCACACTGCCTCCCAGCCGATCTTCTTTTGTTGCCCAGAACAGGAGAACGGAGCTGGAAAGCAGGTTAGTGGGATGGGGAGGGAGTGGGGATTTTGCAGTATCCCTCCCCTGCCACGCCCACAAAGCCATGCNAAGCCAACCAGTAGCTGATCAGAGAAACTGGTGAATCATTAGACTTCCCTCCCACACTTTGCTGGCCCAATCCACCATTTGGGCCAGCAAAATGGTGGATTTATTTTTAATTGCATGAAATTGGCCAAAGGTTTTCCAGTTTTCACTTGTAGCCCAAGCAACAGGAAGAAACAAAATTGTAGGAGGTTTTTTTGGGGGGGAGGGGGGGAATGTACCAGATAGAAAGGTAGCCAAATGAGAGGAGTCATCAGAGGGGGTCTCCTGCAAAAATTCTATCAGTAAAACCCACATACAGTATCTTCAAAGAAGAATATTGATCAGCAAGGGATTGGTTTTATCCTTATTGGGATTTGTCATAGATAGTACATAGCTAGAACTTCTTTTGTGGGGTTCAAACCCTCTATCAAGAATAGACCTCGTGGACCATAGCAGGAGAGTGCACCAGTGTTGGGCTGTGGAAACCCTGAGCTGTTGAGAAGAAGATTTTTACCAAGAAAGTAAATGCAAGAGAATGGATTTCAGTTTTCTAGTCTGGCTAGGGTTTCCATGAGTTCGGTTAAACTTGTCCAGTGCAATTCAAATTTCACTAATTCTGTTCACTCATCCATTCATCCTTTCCGTCCCCTTTCTCGCCTTCCTTTTATAGTTATTATAAAAACACCCTGAAGTGTAGGACACAACCCTTGTCTATACAGCCTTTGGGAGCGATTGTTATTGTGGTTTCATATATTTGGCAACAACATTACTCGTAAATGGAAAATAAGGCATAGGACCAATACAATTTATATATAGCAGCAGATGGCATCTATTAATACTTTGATCCAGGAAACATGGCTTTGATCAGGATGGTAAGAGAACAGTCCTCCTCAATCAATGCCTCCCATGCTTAGGAAATGGAAGCCTAAGACCAAATCATTTGCAAAAGAACTGGCGGGTTAAAAAAAGAAAGAAAGGAGTAACCATTTTCCATTGTTCCCCCTTTCTTGTCCTAGTGCTTGTAAATTATTTTCAGGGACAAGAAGTTCAGTTCAGGGAAACAAAGGAACAAAAACAAGTGTCTTGCCTCATGAAAATAGTTGTGAACTATACAAAGTGGTGGGAATGGTGTCTCTGTACTTTTTTGCTAAAAGGCTGTCTACTATAGAGAGCTGTGATCTGTTTAGCCTCCTAGACATTTTTACAGCATTTTCCAGCTCAAGCATATTAATTTCAAGCATGATCAAAGAAAATTTTAAAATTTAATCCCCTTAAGGAAGATTTTTTGGCATCACCAAGAGCTTTGCTTTGACCTAAATTACAGTCGAGCTGCAGCGCAGTGTATTTGTTTTATTCTAGTAAAGACTTTCAAGATGACACATCAAACCGAGACTGTTTGGAATATAGAGGATCATTTGACTAGGAATACAGATCTTTATTTGGTTAAATCCCATTCAGCTTAATCATAAATATGTGCCGAGAAGGATGGACGGACTTTAAAGACCCTTCCCTTGAAATCTTGGGGATTTCAAAAGCAAGCCATTAGTTCTCTTTTGAAGATGCGAAACCAACGTCAGTAGCATTGATTGGTATGTTTGCTCAAGTTACCCCATTCACAGCAGCCAACAATACCTTCTTTCCATCCTCCTGTGATGGGCTAAAAAGCTGGTCTGACTTCTAAAATATATGAATTTTTAAATCAACCTTCAGATTCAAAGGGAGATTTCTTCATGCAGTCTTCTCATTTCCATGTTAGCCTAACATTCAAGCAGTTTTGTCAAAAGTGTGGCACTGTTATTCCTTGGAGAATAAGGTACTACACTTGATCTTAGCTGAAAGGCCAAGAAGCGATGAAGAATTAAAAAAAAAGTTCTAGTTGTGGCTACCTTGTGGATTCTCCAAGTGCTGCTAACAGTACTGATGTCTGTGAGAGAACTGAAGAGTGAATGACTGAAAGAGTTCCTGTCTTTATTTACAAATGTGTAGGCACAGACATGGACAAGTAATTACTATGTCAGCCCCTTAATTTTCCTTGTACTGTGTGGGAATAGTAGAATGGAAACTGCCTCAGCAACTTTCCGCTGGGGGGAAAAAAACAAGAATTATAACCAGATACAAATTCACTTAAATAAACCACCTTATTTCTCCTCCTGCTCCTCTTTTGGAGATGGGGAGTGAGTATACCATTTTTCCTCCGTGTTGAAAAATATCTTCTGCTTATGTCTTTGGCCAGTTAGAGGGTCATTTAATCAGGCCTTCCTTATCCTACTTTTATCTTCGGTATTAAGGCAGCAGAGCTTGTCTAAGGTTATTTGCTCTGCAGTGATTTATGTCTCCAATTTGGTTTTCTCAGTATTGGTTGTTTTGTTTTGTTTTTGGCCATCCCTCAAACAAATAATCTCATTAGGCTGAAGCCTAATTTCCCCAACTGGATTAAGGGAATCATCCTAACCCCTGCCCCACACTAATAATCTGCAGGCCCTGTCAGATTTCAGTCAGATTTCCCTGGCACGTGGCTCATTCTATATATAGCAGGATCTCTTTAATCTAGAACGTTCTGAGTTGTTGTTTCAGAAAAAGGAGTAAGAGGGGAGACATTTTGCTATAACTTTTACATATACCTACATCTGGATCTAACCAATTGATCTAAGAAACTTATAACAGCCTAATCCACTGGTCTGACCTGTGGGGATGGGCCGGGGTGGGAGGTTGGCAGGCATGAAAGCAGGTAATTTATCTCTCTTTCCTTTCCTGCTTCCCTCTTTCTGACATTCCTTTTTAGGCCTCCTCCTCTCTGAGTTTGTGCTTGCCAGTGTTTGAAGCAGATTGCTTGTGGAGAACTGTTGGAATCAGTCCAAGGGTTGTATATAGCTTTAGGACTGTCAGCTGCCCAATCTAGTATATAGTTTACATGCTAAGTAATGCTGGAACTCTCCTTGTTTTTCTCCAAACTTCAACTCTTCCTCC